CCCTACCAGGGCTAACTGCAGAACTGGAAAGAGGTTTTGATCAAGAAAATGGTATGGGAGGAAAATTGAAATCTCCCTGATTTTTATTCAAACCCATTTGTATCCTTATCTTTTCAGATTCAATGCAAATCCAGGTGCTCGGATACGAAGTATAACCATCCTAATGAATAATTCTTTAAAAAGAAAATGCAGAGATTAATCAGTACATTGAATCAAAAGGTATAGGTTACAGATTTAAAAGGGCATAAAATTAAGAAGCGTGCATTAATGAAATGGTGCAAAATTAAAAACACAATTTTAAAAATCCTTGAAATGAAAAACACACAGAATCAAGAGCACACAGAATTAGAAGGTGCCAGTGCTGTGTCCCCCAATCTGAAATTATTTCCCTTGCAGCTGTTTTGTAGGATCAAAAGAACACGTTGAAAGGTCTGATCATAGATCTCTACTGTGGTGTGTTGTTTGGCTCCAGGCCTGGAATCTCAACAGCAGCAGATACATGAGTAGGCGATGCAGACCTGACAAGGGTTGAACGTTTTGAGTAGTAAAAGACCAACAAGAATGGGCAGTGGAAGCTGAAAGGAGGGTAGGATTGCCAACTCCGGGTTGGGACATTTCTGGAGATTTGTTAGGGCTGCCAAATCCCCTCGGGGGGCGAATTTCCCCCCGCTTTGGAGGCCCGATTTCCGCCGCCGCGGAATCGGGCCCCGGGGGAAACCCCACCCCGGCGTGCACGTCAGCCGGATGTGACGTGATGACGCCGGGCACGCTGGGGGCAGGGCCACAGCCATTTGAGGGGAAAACTTAGAGTTTTCCCCTCAAATGGCTGTGGCCCTGCCCCCAGCATGCCCGGCGTCATCACGTCACATCCGGCTGACGTGCATGCATGCGCTGAGGACACTGAACGGGAGCCCCCCGCCGCGAGGTAAAAACCATTTGGCAACACTAAGATTTGTAGAGTTGCCAAATTCCAGGTGGTGGCTGGCGATCTCCTGGGATCGCGCCTGACCTCAAGGCGACAGAAATCAATTCACCTGGAGAAAATGGCAGCTTTGGAAGGTGGACTTATATGGCATTCTACCCCAATGAAGTCCCTCCTCTCCCCAAACCCCGCCCTCTTCAGGCTCCACCCCCCAAAGTCTCCAGGTATTTTCTAGCCTGAAGCTGGCAATCCTAGAGATTTGGGAGGTGATCCCTGGGGAGCTCGGGATTGGGAAGGGGAGGGATCATCTCAGGAGGGGCACAGTGCCACAGAGTCCACCCTCCAAAGCAGCCATTTTCTCCAGGCGAACTGATCTCTGTAGTCTGGAGATCAGTTGTAATTCTGGGCGGTCTCCCGGGCACCACCTGGAGGTTGGCAACCCTAAAGTAGGGGAGTCCCTTCATGGAAGTTGGTCACTTGGGACTAAGACTCTACAAGGAGAAGCGTTTCTGTTTAAGGAACAGTGAGTAACCTGTATGTAGGTCATATGTTTTGCTTTTGTGTGCGTTTTGTTTGCCTTCTCAGGTTAGAGACAGACTAACTGCATTAGCCGCAGCGCCATGGGTCAGAAGCATAAATAATAAATGGGGAGGCCTGCAATTTCCTATAAACTGTGGCCGTAAGGTTAATTTGTAGTGTAGCATGGGTAAGCAGCAAGGGTTGTACGCTGAACTCTTTCCCACCTGTGCTTCTTCCCTGAATTCTTCTCCCTAGTTCTTTATTTCCAGAGGGGTGGGGGAGGGCTCTGAAACTGGGTACTGCACTGGGCTTTATAGCTGTTCACAAGCAGAAAGACTTGCTGCAGCTCCTGAGGGTTTTTGAGGCCCAGCATTTTGTGCTAAGGTAGCAAGGTGGACCCCAGGCTTCGAAGACAACGCTTACCACTGGCGACGAGGCAACTAGCTGAAATCTAAGGAGATCTGTTTAGGATTGCTTCCCTATATTTGTAAAAACACCTGGTAGAGAGGGACTTACTTCTGAGTAAACGTGCTAAGGATGGCTCTGTAAAACGGTTAATTTAAAACTCTGGCCCTTGCTTGGGATCTGAAACTCTGTTGCTGATGTTTTTTGTTAATGAACAAAAAGTGCTGTGAGCTGGGTGGCTGCGAAGAGAAGCGCTGCGAATGCCAGAAGGGAGAGCCAGGACCCCCAGGACCTGCCGTGAGTATATTTTTGTTTGGCCTCCAAAATCTTTGCTTATATTTCGTAAGGTAAAACCGTCTCCATTTTCTGTGGTAAAGCTTAAAGGGGAATATATTGATTACTGTAAAAAAAAGTACAAAGTATGTCAGAAGGGGAGGAATGGTTCACATTGTGCTCAGAAAAGAAGAAAAAGCACTGGACTGAAGCTATAGGAAGGTCGATTTAGACTCCTGTATGTACTTCCCCTCCTCTGAGGTCATCTTTGGAAGCTCTTGTCTGTTTGGTCCCACATTCTGAAGTTAGTTCACTATGTCAGAAAGAAGGCTTTGGCGGGATACAAAGGCAGTAGGAAGCCCTTTGAATTGTACCTGAGAGCGTTTGACTCCTTTTGAATTCCAGACAAGACTGGATTTATAAAAGCATCTTATATTGCTTTGTGGCTATTACATCTGTGATAAGTCTTCTTTTCTGACTCTGAGAAAGGACTTTCCTGAAACAGGCGCCAGCTGATCTCCCGTTAGTCAACCTGCGGCAGCCATCCGACTGCTTATGTGGCAGCAGTTCGGCTACCTGTTGGAACACAACAGTGGACTACTTATCTACAGTCAAAATTTAATTAAGATGTAGCGGCCATCCGACTTCTTACAATATAGTGGTTTGGCCTCTTGTTGAAATATAACAGCGAACTGCCCACTAACAGTTCAGCTCGGCTGAAACACTTCACATGCAATGTTCCCTCTAAGCTGTGGAGTCTTGTGAGCAAAAATCCTACTTTGTGAGCTCCTGGCATTAAAGTTGTGAGCGAGTGATTGGGCCGCTGCATAAATTAGTTTGCTCTGGAGCCATCCTTCCTTAGCTGAGACAAAAATGTGTGAGCTGGAGGCTAAAAAACTGTGAGCCAGCTCACACTAACTCAGCTTAGAGGGAACACTGTTCACATGTCTTGTAATTTTTGTAATTTTTTGTTAATTTTTTTGCAAATTTTCATGGTGAAATCTTTTTGGTATTTCTTATGTAATTGGATTTATGTATGGATATAAAATGGTCAGATATGATAGAATACAATGAATTAATTCACACAATGAGCTCTGATGTTACCATATACTTTATTGAATGTTTAAAGAAAACTTAAACATGTACTAATTTGTCTCCCCTGGATTCCACCGAATTTATTAGATTAGTAGTAGGAACAATATGATCATTTTGATTACTAATAACTCCTGCCATCCAAGTACTTAAAAAATATAGGTCATACGTTCTTATAGTTAAAACGTTTTCTCTCTCTTTTGTTTTACCCAAGGGATATCATGGTGAAAGCGGGCAGAAGGGAGAACGAGGATCTAAAGGAGAAAAGGTAAATGAGCCTCCCCTCATTTGTTCTAGGACAAGTTGAGACCTATGAAAAATGTATAGTGTTTTTTGAGGGGGGGGGGGGGGGGGGGGGAAGGAAGGCAGAACTGTCGATCAGCTGATTGAATGGGCCAACCTGCAGCTGCTGAACTGATGACTTGTGGGAGTCAGGCTGTTCTAGGTGTCTCCAATCCTTTTTGGTAAACACAGTGCCAAACCTAAATTCCTGAGAAAGCAATCGAAGCTCTTCAGGAGGCCTAGGCAGGCTTTGGTTGGTTCCAGCCATCAAATGGTTTGGGATCTCTTTGGAAGGTGCTGAAGTCTGCTTTCCACACTCCTCTCCAGTCCTCAGTGCTGTCCTTGCTGCCCTTCCCACTCTGCTTTTCCAGTGACAGGTCCAGCGCTCCCCTCGGCCATTTGAAAGCTCCTCCTCGCTCAAATGACTCACCCTTTCTCCCTTGCTGTCCCTCATGCCTGGAGCTTCTTCCTAGAACATCTACGTGATCCCACATGTCTCATTTTCTCCAAATCCACTTCCTTCCCTACTGAAACAGTCAATTATATGTGACTGGAGTGAACACATGTTGACCCCCCCCCCACTTCCACTTCCCTTCTCTCCTTTGGTTGTCTTTGTTATGCCAGACACTACCTTGTAAGCTCTTTGCACTCTGTAAAGAGTCATGCACATTGATGGCAGTAGGTAAATAATATCACAATCACCGTTGGGCTTTGTATGTGGGTAAATGTAATAACAAAACAAATCATGTATTTATAACATAAAGGCAAATTCTCATTGGTTTATTCTTTCTTTCTAGGGCGAGTTTGTAAAAGGAGACCCCGGAGAAAAGGGTTCTGAGGTAGAAAGAAAATGGCTATTGTTGACTAGCTTACAGTACACTGAGTTATGTTTTTGGTTTCTCATCAACAATATTCTCCAACCTCTGTCCTTTCGGACACCCCTACTTCTCTTGATGTCACTGGCTGCTGTGCTCTTATGTCACCAGCAGATCTTTGCAATCAAGAGTGTCACAACCTTTTGGGCTGCCATTAGCTTGATTTCACAGATTGATGATATTTGCTTTGATCAAGGAAGACTGGAGGACCTTAAAATTGGCATTGTGAAGGCAGCAACTAAACTTTGTTAAATCAAACAGTCATTGGTTCCTGGAAGCCTTTGAATGACATTTAATAATTCTCTTGAGCAACTTTGGACAGATGACATCTGTTCTAATACATTGGGTATACTATGGAAATATAGGGCACATTTTCAGTGGGTGCAAGATGAGTCTATTTCCATTAATTTCAAATGGTCTGTCCAGGAGTATGTATAAACACATGTCCATGTTTACCCCAGCCTTCTCTCTTGGGTGTTTGAACTCTAATGTAAACTCTTTTGCTTCCTTGTGCATTTTGATAGATGGAACCAAGTTGGGCCTTCATTCCTTTGCTTATGATTGGTTCCATTGTTCAAAACAAATGGAGACTTCTGTGTACATGGAGCTTGGTGTTTAGATCAGATGCACACAAAACTCTGGAAAGAGATCCATTGTTTTAACATAATTTGTTTTTAAAGGTTTTACATTGTAACTTTTAACCCCAGTTTACCTCTTCTGGCTACTATTGCCTATCCTGTTCTGATTAAAGAGCCTGGATTGTTCTTTACGTTCATATTTAACTAGACAAGGTCAAATAACTTTATTATCATTATCTTGCAAACAGGGTAGTCCTGGCTTAATGGGCGAAAAGGTAAGATTGTTAAAAAGTGATTCATTGAAACTATGTTAGGCAATGTATGACACATCATAATTAGAAGTTTACATTAAAATTGTTAGGTATGGGTTGTGAAGTCACAGTAGAGTGGGAACAGAATTAAAGTAGCAGAGGATGAGTAAAATCCATAAGTTCAAGGGTCTTCAGTACCATCAGCTTCCATATTCTGGTAGCTATGTAGCTTCTCTGTCACAATCTTCACCTACTAGCTGTTGCCACTAGAGCATCAGTATGCAAAGAAGTCCATTGGATCCTACACATGACGATCTATTGAAAACAACATGGAAATGATTAAGCTGTAGCTTCTTCACAGTTCCTAATTCATTAGGAATTAAAAAAAAATATTTCCAGGAATGCTGTCAGTTTCTATGGGTTCATGAGTTGGGTTCTTCAGAATGTTAGAATTTATTGCAAATAAGGGAAGGGATCAAACTGTAATTTATGAGCTTATTTGATTCCCCAAAATTAAACAGAGCAAATGAAGAAGCAAGCTTGATGTGTGTACTGTACTTTAGAGCACAATAGCAATTTTCCCTTTCTCCCCCCGGACACTTCAGTCTACATGCTTTGGATTGTGGAACGTGGGAGGGGAAACAGGCAAGAGTATCAGAGTGGCCTTTGGCATTTCATGAGGAAAGGTTTTGAAGAACGAAGGAAAAGGAGAGGATGTGTGAGGATGCTGTGACTTTAAGTGGGTGGTACTTAACATGATACAGATCCTAGAGGGCTGGAGCAGATGAGCAGAATCATGGCTGAAGCAGCAAGTATCATACTCTAGACTCATACCTTCGGGACCGCCTCTCCTGGTGTGATCCTCTTCGTCTTCTCCGATCTTCATCTCAGCCTTTATTGAAGGACCCTGGTCCATGAACTGTCTGCCCTGTGTCAACAAAGACAAGGGCCCTCTCAGTAGTGGCCCCTGTCCTGTGGAACCAGCTGCCTGAAGAGGTGCATGCCTTGCAGGACCTCTGTCAGTTTTGTAGGGCATGCAAGGCTGCTCTTTTGGGGTGGCCTTTGGGTGATCGTGATCCACCAGGCAGCTGGTATGCTTCAGCTGTGTCTTCACCATCCACGCATCCTACCCTTCTAGATAGTGGATAGATTTTAGTGGGGGTAGATTTTTAATCATTTTATATTTTTAAAGTTTATTTGTTCTATTGTTTATATCGGGTATATTTTATATGCTGTTAGCTGCTCTGAGTCCCGTTTGGGGGAGAGGGAGCAGGATATACATTTGATAAATAATAATAAGTCAGTCTGTTCCTTGTATTACTGATTTCTAAGTTATATAAATAGTTAATAAAGTTCATCTTATGTCGTACTGCATCTTGGATCCTTAAAGTTTTTCCATAAAGAATGTGACAGCCAGGACTAGGAGCTGGAAGCATCACCATTTCTGATGACACAAATGCATTTTTAGTCGTTATAATGAAGATTAAATATTTCTGCAAAATATCATTGTAAAACCATCCTAACTATATGCATATATTTGTAGGGTAACAAAGGGGAGTGCGGAATACCAGGCGTAAAAGGAGACAGAGTAAGTTGAAATTAGTATCAATTGATTGTCGCTGCTAACCAAGTTGTCTATTTTGCTTGTATTCCAAATTTGTACTAGTTGTCTATTTTGCTTGTATTCCAAATTTGTACTAACAGAAAATGGTGAAGGGTGTCTAAGGGACAAATAGTTAAGGTCCTACAAATAGATCTTGTCTGATTAATTTTCCACTTATATAGAACTACTGACAGTGTATCAGGTCCAACTGACCTTGGGGTTTGCTTCAGCAGGTAAATTTACAGCTCATCAGCAGAAAAGAAACTTTCAGCACACAGCCAAAATATAAGAAAAAAACCTATTTCATTTAATTGAGTAAAAACATTTACACTCACAGGATGTATGCACTGCCAAAATCATCCAGCATCTGAACAATTGGCAATAAAACATTCAAGTGCCAAGATAGGCTAACAGTTCTTAAAAGGGAAGCGTCTTACAAATTAAGTCCTCATAACAAGCTCTGTAGCAAAGTCACATAGCTCAAATACTTTGGCTACCAAATGAGAAGGGAGCACTCACTGGAGAAGACCCTGATGCTGGGAAAGATTGAAGGTCAAAGAAGACAGGGACAGCAAAGGATGAGATGGTTAGACAGTGTCATAGATGCAACGAACATGAAGTTGAGCCAACTTCTGAGGACGGCGGAAGACAGGAAGGCCTGGCGTGATCTGGTCCATGGGGTCGCGAAGAATCGGACTCGACTGTGCGACTGAACAACAAAAATCAAAGTCACAATAGAATGGGAGTCAATTCCATCTTTGGAGGTAGCTTATCACTTCAGTGCCAAATATACTCTGGTCCCTCCTGCAACGTTGACAGCAGTGCTAGCCCGAGCCAAAGGAAGAGAAAAGAAAAAGAAAAGGAAGCTTTTTGGACTGCTGCCACTCCCTTCAGATAAGAACCTTGCAGCTGCCGGCAATTACCACAACCAAGCAATATCCCCCCAACCCCCGTTAGGTCCTGCCAAATTTATGACCCTCTCCCAATTGTCAGGGTTTATCAAATTATAGGCTTATTTGGCCCTCATCCCTTACACAGTGCAGAGTGGAAGGCTAGTTGTTTCTTACCATGAAAGCTTGTGTGCGCTTCTGGAAAGAAAAACTGATCCAGGAGGATACAGTAGATCAGTTTGATTCTCTGAGACCAGCCAGACACTCTTAACACAGCTACAGATGACTGTTACAGGCAGCCTTCAGCTATCCCAGTCCCCATTTTGGATCACCAAGAAACCACCTGTTAAGTGTTTGAGCATGGTTAGAGTACTAAACTTGGAGAAGTGAGACTCAGGTCCAAAAGGTCCGGCTATATCTCTTGTATGAGGAATATCCTTGTAGAACCTTCCCACTGATCTCAAAAAATGGGTAGGATCATTTAGGAGGGGGTGTTGCCCTAGGAATGTGGAGGCCAGGCTATATAGGTAACTGGGGGTAAAACTGCATGTTACATCTACCACCTGATGGCAGAACATCAACTGCAAGTTTCCAGTGGGAATTCAATTCAGAAGTTCCACAGGGGCCTGATTTTGATATAGACGGTGGTGGGATAGGAAGAGAGAAACCTGCCTTCCCTCTGTGCCATTTTCCAGACCTGAATTGTCCCCTATGGAGTGTTATTTGCCCCACTGGGGGGCTATGTATGCACTGAATGCTTGCACATACCACACCCCAATATGGCAAAGAACATGCCTTGGGGCTCTTTCAAGTCAGGAAAACAGCACAAGGGAGAAAGCAGGAGCCCCTCCTCCTCCTGTGCTGCAGTTCCGATCCCAATTGGGCCCCTGCAACACTCCTGAACTGAGTTCCCACAGGGAACTTGCAGTTGGTGTTCTGCTACCAGAACATACCATGTAGTTTTGCTCCCAGATTCCTATATAGCCTGGCCTCCACATTCCTAGGGCAACACCCTCCTAAATAAGCCTACCCATTTTTTAGATCAATGGGAAGGTTTTGCAAAGATATTCCTCATATAAGAGATATGGGGAACTCACACCTGGTATATGGTTGCAAATCCCTATGATGATAATGTGGTAGATGACTTCGCTCTATGAACACCTTGGACTGGGCTTAGAAATAAGTAAGTATATCTGTCATATTATGAGTTGGATATACCAGTTAGGAGGCAAGGTATTAGGACCGTGTGCCAGCTGAAGCTTCCAAACCATTTTCAGCAGAAGTGCCATACAGAAGTAATTGTAGTAGGGTTTACAGAACTGTGCATGACCATTTAATGTAGATGGGATTTTGTTGTTGTTGTTCAGTCACACAGTCGAGTCCGACTCCTCACGACCCCATGGACCACAACACGCCAGGCCCTCCTGTCTTCTGCTTCTGGAGTCTGCTTAATTTCATGTTTGTTGCATCGATAATACTGTCTAACCATCTCATCCTTTGCCGTCTCCTTCTTCTTTTACCTCCAGTCTTTCCCAGCATCAGGGTCTTCTCCAGTGAGTGCTCCCTTCTCATTTGGTGGCCAGAGTATTTGAGCAGATGGGAGAGCATTCTGCAAATCAAGCAGTGAGATGCTACCCCTAGATGCCACCTCTTAAAAGCAGCACCAGATGCCGATACATTGCCATGCTGGGACCCTGGTGCTGTAGGGAGAGACTCTGGTTATTTTATATCTTATTAATTTTAATTTTAATTGAAATATTGACATCCCACCTTGCCTCTTGGTTAAAGATCTTGTTTCCAATGCAATTTGAAAGAGAGAGGACTGATTTTGATATGCACCTGCTTTTGCTTCTAGGTTTTGCAGGGTTTTGTATTGATTCCAAAAATCCTGCGAAGCCTGATTGATCAGTAGGACAAAGGATGTATGCACAATACAGGGAATCCTAGATTGGATTGAACTGCTTTCACCTCTTTGAAAATTATCTCTTGTCAGCCACTGTCACCAACAGGGAATACCACTCCACGAGCATAAACTTTGCTCTTATAGACAGCCTGTTGGGTTTGATCTGCCTAGGTTTTTGCGGCCAAAATTACAGGACCACCAAAAATATACTTATTGCACAATTGTGTGGGTTGCTAAAAAGGAAACAGCGTGAACTGTCAAATTCTTAGCCTGCACATCAACAGTGTGAATTTATACTAGCAGTATATGATGAAGTAGGAGAGTCTGTGAAATGTGTGTATGCAAAGATAAAAGAAAAGGAGAGAGCAGCTGGCAGGAAAATTGGACATAGAAGCCATATGCCAAGATTGCAGAAATGTAAAGAAAGAGCTTGTCTGTCACTCAGTTTTTATTAAGGACAAGGATGAAAAAAAATTAGACATCTGTAAAGGATTAGAAGCCATAATGGATTAAGCACTTGCAGAGATTTCTGAACAGTCCAGGGTTTCTCATCACCCACAGGATTCCCACTTGCAAAAGGAGATGAAAAGACCATGGCCAAACATGAATGAAGAATGTTTTCTCAGAATGGTAGAGATCATGCCAGTGGAAAATAGCTAGACATGGGGCACAGTTTGCAGAAATGAGGAGCAAAAGATCGGGAGCACAGTCTCAATATTAAAAAGTACATTTACAATCTGGACAGATGGGCACAGCAATATAATTGATGGCCCTGTTGTATTTCCTGGCACAGCTTCTTTCTTTCTGTTTAATAAAAAAGATTGATTTTCAGCCTGGAGTTCAGCAGTGTTTACTGGTGTTTCCCACTGGTCAGAAGTCTGGGTATCTCTAAAGGCCAATCAGCACACTGTACTGCTTTCATAATAGCTCACAATGCAAATAACTGCTAATCGCTTGAATTCATTTCAGATATGGATGGTGCATATGTGGCTACAGAGAACAAGCCCAAGACTATTTATATCTGTTAATAATTTTGTTGTCTTGGTGATAGAACTGACTCGGGGTTTTTTCCAAGTAGTAAGCAGAAATCAGTAAAGGAGAAAGTGTCCCCCCTCCCACTCCAGAGGCCCAAGAGAAAGGCATCCACGATGATTTATGCATCGCATCCCACCCCTACCTCCCTAGCAGTTTATCCCATAAAGTGCTTAGGTTTTGGATGGAAGAAATATTCCTATATGGAATTTGCAGATTAGAAAAGATGTGCTGCCCAGTTCTGGGCGTGGTTTACTCAGGGTACAAGCAGGTGAGATGCTGGAACAAGTGTTTTGCAAATGGAAATTGCAGTCACTGGAGGGCTCTGAGTTCTCAAGTGAGTATGGGATTCCAGCCTAAATTTTTGAGTGCAAGAAACAATTGGTATGGGAAAGAAAATATCTTACATACTGATTTGTAAATGAATGAATTCCATCAGTAGTTATTCTTCTTTCTGATTAACCTGTTTTGTTTAAACAGGTCTAATGGCCAGGATTTCTGCCAAGAAACTCCAGAAATTTTAATGTCCTAAGGGTGCCTGAATTCTGTGCCTGAATGCTCATGACAACAATTTCCATATACATCATGACAGATGAACCAGTTTTAATTTGGGAGTGTGGCATGCAGGATAAATTGCAACATCAAAACCGCCCAGAAACACGCTGAACCAAGTGGCCCCAGTAGCACTGTCTGAGTACTACTATAAAACTATATAATTTGAATTACAGTTTGTTACTAATATATACAATTCTGCTGCTTCATTTGCACAGGGGCAGGAAGGTCCATTTGGCCCGAAGGGACCTAGAGGCCTTCAGGTAAGTCTGTTTAATAGTAGTGACTCTAGCAAAGCCAATTGGCTATGTCTGGACTATATCATTTTCAGAGTCCAGTGATGTGGGTTATCTATGACTGGATCAGATTTCCCACTATTTTCAAAAAGCTGCTGTAGGGGGTCCAGTGTGGATCGCAGAAAGAGTTGTAGGGGGAGGTGAAGTTAATCCCACCTTACTACATTGTTTCTCTAATCTAAACAACCACTCCTTTGCAAGAAGAAAGATTCCACCCCCTGCTGTGGAGCCAGTAGCAGCTTTGAGAAAGGGAAATTCAATTCAGGAAAAATAACATGAGGGGAAAGGGTTTTTAAAAAAACAACCCCTCCCATTTAGCACTGTTCTTCTGATTTACTTCAAAGATATGAGGCTGTTTTATGTCAAAATGAAAACAGAGGGTGATCCAGTCATGTATCTCCTGGATCCCATTTAGTTTGAGTCCTCCTTTTGTTGCATCTACATGGGGGCAAGTCCCTATTTCTTCCATGATTTCCTCTCTTGCTGACCATACCCCGCCCCCCCCCCATCTTCAGCAGGTTTTTTGCCTTTTCTATTATTGGTAGCCAAGATATTACTATAGTCTTTATCTCTATAGCAATGTAACTACTACTAACTTTTAAAAAATGGCAAAAAGCTTGCCAGTGGTGATGGAGGTATGGCAGGCATGAGGAGAAATGGTGCTGGATGTAGCACTAGATGTAGGGAGGGAGGTGAAGAAATCTGCACTTTCCACTTCACACTTTCCCCAAATTTGTTTTGGATATGAACTTTTAAGGAAGATACTACCAAAGCAGGTTTGCAGAAAATTGCTGTGGAGTGAGGAAAAATCTAGAAGGGAGATGACCAGACAATATTGTGTGGAATCCCCCAAAAGAACTACTGCAGTTTGAGGCAGACTAGGATTTCCACATGGAACCAACCTTTGAGATATATTTCTGTTCATACATATGTGGGGATAAGTTATTTCTGTCTATCTATTGTTACTTCTAGGCAGGGGTCTTGTTGTAGAAAAAGAGCTGCCGGAGCTCATTAGCATAACTCATTAGCATAACTTATTTGCATATGCCACGCCCCCTGACATCACCGGAAGTGACAGAAGGCCACACCCCCTGACATCACCGGAAGTGTGTCAGAAGGCCCGGCTACTTACCCTCCTGCTTCATCCTCATTCCCAAACAGAATGAGGATCGAAGCAGAGGGCGGGGTAAAGAAGGGGGCGGGGCTTCACCACGTGACCGCCCCGCCCCCTAGAGGTTCTCTTCCGGAGCTCCGTACCTGAGAGCTCCCCCCCGACTAGAGCCCTGCTTCTAGGCATTCCTTATCAGAACGATCTGACAAGGGATGAAATTGTACGACTAACTGAGAAATCAAAAAATTAACAGAACACCCAGAATTGTTAAATAAATGTGAAGCAGCTGATCCTCTACCAAAAATATGCTGTTTATCACTAAAATCAGCCTCCTTACTAGAGGATGGAAGATAGCCTATGTTATATCATTAGAAATAGTCCTAGTTAGTGTGGGGCCTGAAATTAATTAATTACCATATGGCATTGTGTGTAGAATAGCCAGGAGATACTAAGATTGTCTGGCAGCCAGAAGTTTTAGCTCTTTCTGTGTTATGCACCACCAGATGGTGAGCTAGACTTGGTTTTTTTTTAAGGCAAGAGACATTTCAGAAGTGGTTTGCAATTGCCTGCCTCTGTGTCGCAGCCCTGGTATTCCTTGGAGGCCACCCTTCCAAATACTAGCCAAGGCTGACCCTGCTTAGCTTCTGCAATCTGACGGGATTGGGCTAACCCGGGCTATCCAGGTCAGGGCTAGACATCTCTTGAAATTACAGTTGATCTCCAGACAGCAGAGATTAGTTCCCCTGTAGGAAGATGGACTGTATGGCATTATGCCCCACTGAGGTCCACGTTCTCACCAAACCCTGCCCTCCTCAGGCTCCACCTCCAAATCTTCAGGCATTTCCCATCCTGGAGTTGGCAGCCCTTGTCCTGGGAGACCCAAGAAATGACAGAACTGTAAAAGTGCAAGACTTTGCTGTAGAAGAATAAAGGGGATGTTCAAATAATACAGATGGAAAATAAAATATCCTGTATCACAATTTATTTCAGAAATGTATATGCCACCTTTCCAGAGCGTGCTAAAAGGCAGTTCACAAACTAAACCAATACAACAGAACCAATAGTATAAAAATAAGCCATTAAAAACAAGCCAGGGGTATAAAAACAACATACAACAACATTCCAGATCCTAAAATGGTTTGCTGAGGCTAGATGCAGACCGTAAAAGCAACTTTAAAAAAATGGAGCCTCTCTCTTAAAAGACTGAGCAAAACCCAAATGTTTTGACGTGGCATGTGAAGGAAAGTAAGGTAGGTGCCAGGTGGGCCTCAAGGGGGGGGGGCATTCCAAAGGCAAGGTGTCACCACTGAAAAAGCCAGATCTCTAATTGCCACTTGTCTCCCTTTACAAATGGAGGCACTGGAAGCAGTGCTTTGAAGGGGCTCATAACTGCTGGGCTGGACAGTATGAGTGGAGGTGGCACCTCAGGTACTCAGGCTCTGAGTCATTTTGGCTCCTAAAGGTAAGAACCAGCAATTTAAATTGTGCCTAGGCAGCCAGTGCAGATGCTTCAGCAGAAGGGCAATTGGTTATATCAATCAATATTCATGATAACTCAATGGCACATCCCTGTTTAGCGGCATACTGAGTATCAGATGAGGGGAACAAAAGACTGCTTCCTGGCTCTGCTTGCTGGCTTCCTGGAGGCCTTCCTCCACTGGAAGAAGGATGCTGGGCTAGAAGGTTCAATCCAAGAGTGCTCTTGCCTGTGGCAGCGTGAGGACATTAGTGTATCCTAGGAACTTAGTCAACAGTGAGGCTTGTACTGTTATGTTCTTGGGTCGTACAGCTGGCCTTCTGTTGCTTGGTTTTAAAATTATTGCTCTCAAGGGGAATTTCCTTTCATTTTCTTGGTTCTTGTCACTTACTCAAAAGCTCAGCATCTTGTCCTGTACCACAGTGTGTAGCTTGAAGCAGAACTGTGAGAACATTTTTTGCCTTTCTCAGCGGAACTGTTGCCCCCCCCCCCCACCGCCAATTCCTTAGTCTGTAAGTCAGCAGTCAGGAAAATGTCTAATATTTCTCCTTAAATGTTTTCCTGTGACTGAGAGGAGTTCCCAGGGTAGACAGCCTTATGCCACAGGAAAGTCCTGTCTATACCTCAGGGGAAACTGAAACTGGATTTTCTCAGTGCTTTTGACAACTAATTATAGCATTTTGTAATATTATATGGTGGTTGGATCCTAAACCAGATTAAGGTTTTAGTTTAATTATCTTTGAAATATTGGTTAGACTTAGATCAGATTCATCTTTGATAGACACGGGTTCAGGTTCAGCTCCAAATCTAACATCATGGCTCCAAATCTGTTTGCAAATTGTCATATTGAGGAAGGAATAGTGATTCCCAGGGGATATATTCTGAATGGGTTTTGTGACCTGCCAGTATCAAGTCATGGAAGGCCCCTGCCACATGGCAGGGAAAACACGGGGCGAAAAAGAAACGCCGCGGCGGGATCCCACTGATCCCGTTAGCCGCGCGCCGTTGCTCCCCGGCACGATCAGATGCCGGGGAGGAAGAGACGAGTGGGAGGGGGAGGCTGCCGAACTGCGCATGCTCGAGCATGCGCAGTACGGCAGGGGGCAGGGGATGTGCCGGCGAAAAGACGCACCGGCGATCCGACGGCCGCATTTGCCGCGGCCCATTCAATTGAACCACCCAGGTAGGTGATTCTTCTTTGATGCACGTTTTGGGCGGTTGGGACGGATCGGGGACGGCCACGGCACGATTGCCAGATGTTGCTGTGTGATCGCGCCCGTTTGATGCGGCCCCGAGCCGTCCCTCTCTCGGCCCAAAACGCCTTGTGTGAACAGGGCCGAAGTGTTTCAGAATTGGTGCTGTTCCCTAGAGCCTTATTCTCACGCAGTAACTGCAAAGGTAGTTCTGGCTGAAAAGAGCCTTCTGAACATGCCCAGAGCACCCTTCCCCAAATAGTGAACCCCCTTCAGTTGCAAATTAATTGTCTAGGAGTAGACAGCAGAGTCTTTCTACTGTGCCCTGGCATCTCTTTGACTACAAATGGAATATTGCTTTCATATCAGTCTGATGTTTTTGTTGGCAGAGTAATTAACACAGAAATGGTGCACAACCTGATTAAAGAGTAGATAAAGGTTTATTTAGGAATTAATATACTTGACAGGAAAGAGGAGAGACAAAGACAGGTTCCTAACTACGTCTCTAGCTGAGAGAAAGACTGAGTGTGGCACTTTCGAGAAGAAGGGGGAAATTTCCCTAAGAGAAACAATCTGCAGACGGACAACAAGAAGAGAAGGTGCCGGCCTCAATATCTATATATCTAATTCTCAAGTCGCCCCCTGGTGTGTGGATGCTTAAATCTGCACATCGGGGGGACCTGGAGGGGAGGGAGAGGTTTGTGCGCACGTGGGGCGGTCCCCACGTGTGCACAAAAATCCTAAATGTGCAAAAAAACATCGGGGGATGTTTAAATCCCCCTGACACTCACAGAGCGTCCCCTGCGCATGTGCAGGGAACGCTCTGCGAACGCCGACGCCGCCACTGCTTGGAAGGTGAGCGGCGAGCAGGGAGGGGGGCCCCTCCCTTTGGGGCGGGGGGGAGGAGAAAAAGCCGCCGCCGCCACCGCTTGGGAGGGAAGCGGCGAGCGGCTTTTTTATTTTCACGGGTCCCCTTTCTTGTCCTATCTAATTGTCTTCTTGCTGCCCCCTGCAGGTTCTTCTCTTCTTTGTACAACTGACATTGCCTTTTCCAACAGTTTTAAGATAATCATAATGCCTAGGCATGAGTAAAATATGCAGCGATAGTGGGATCGTAATAGTGCAATGCAATCAATACGTTTAGAATGGATTAACTCTGTGTGGGATTCATGTGATAATCAGGGAGCTCCTTTTTTCTCTTTCATTGAAGGGTTTAACAATGTGTGCTTGTTCTTCAGTAATGAAGAGTGGGGGAAAAGATGTGCAAATGAACAGGAGGGGCTGAAAGATGGAACATAGATGATCCACTTTTGAAATGAACTTCAGAATTTTCTTAGTGAAACTGGAATTTAAAAGGGGTGGAATAGAGCACAAAATGAAATTCCTGCACAATAAAAGAGCAGAAATCCTCTCTTTCCTAGTTTTGGAGATTACTTTTGTTATGAACTTTACCTTTTGTGTATATAAAGTCATAGTTTAATTTTAAAATTTGTAGATTAGTGAATCATGTTGAAAAGTAGGACTGTCAGGACAGCAGGAAAGCAGCATGGAATTAAAAACAGCAGATGAAAAACTAATGCACTGGGCACCGCATCCTATTTTCTTAGAAGGATTCACTTACAGCTGTAGAGGTTGCTTTTTGTTATTGAGACTGCACAAGGTTACTCTTTATGTGTCCATTGGGAGAAATCACATTTTGCCTTTGGTATTTTGCTTCAGGGAATTGCTGGCCCTCCAGGTGAGCCTGGTCCAAAAGGTATTCAAGGAAAGAAGGTAAGATATACATAATACATAATTTTATATGAGGTCTAACAAAGTGGGGAGCTACTGTCAAAAGATGGGAAACTGAAAAATTCCATATTCACATGAATTATTTAGTGGTTATTTACATGGCTAGATGTTTTTCTATGGCTAAGATACGTCATGTATATCTTGATATCAATAATCCATGCCTGGGATAAGATGCAACATGTTCATTTGAATGAGCCCATGCTCCTGTTCTTGAAAAACACTGCATCCCTCCCACTTTGTTTTCTTTTAGTGAATCCAGTTTTTGAAAAAAACTGCATCCACTTTGTTTTCTTTTAGTGAATCCAGTAGTTATGAGTTCAGCTGTGTGCACTGAGTCAATCCGTCTTTCAGTGGGTTGATTATCTGTTTGTAGAAGCACCTATTACTGTGTACACATGCCAGATTTTGCTACATCTGGCAGAAGAAGGAAGTTAAACCACCCAAACTCTTGCACCAAAGCCATGAGCCATGGCATGTTATCCAATAGTGTGTTCCAGTTCAAAGGAAAACTCTTTCAGCTGCAGAACTGAAATTATCGTACTCGTAGAGCAGAGTTATATAAAAAAATAGTTCTGCTTGCAGATTAGAACAGACTAGCCATACAACATGGCTTAATAGAGAGTCTGATAAGTGTGAATGATTGCCAATGCGGGCCTATAAGATAACTATACAGGTCAGGAGCTTGAGCAGTTGTTAGAACAAATGAGGCACAACTAAATTAGTATGACATGGTGTGGGTTCACTGCAGGTTGAAAAGCAGTGAGAGTCCAGCAGCCATCCACCCAAGGTAACCCTAGCCTAAGGCCCTTTGACATGACCCAGCAGCTTTCATACTGGGGTTGCATTAGAGTTATAGAGTACTGTTGTTTAACGTGGCTGTTTTCAGTGAGAAGCTAATTTTGTGGGTGATAGCATTGTTTTATTTATTTTACAAAATTTATTCAATTTATACCACTTTTTGCCATCATCAGGGTATCTTAAAAACCATTAAAACCAATGAAAACACATCAGTAAAATAATTAAAACTGGAGCCAGCTCATGCACCACAGTGGCCAGATCTTTTCTACCCAGGAAAGGGTGCAGCTGGCTAACTATTTGAAACTGGTAAAAGGCATTCCTGCATGCCTGGCCACAGCTGCCACCTGCTTATCCAAGTAGGCCTGGGTCCAAGAGTTCCTCCAAACTACAGACCTGTTCCTTCAAGGGGAGTGCAGCCTCATCCACACTTTAAATCCTGGGCTGGACTGAGCAGCAGTCCTTCAACACCACCTTCTGAAACCTACCCTCCATGTAGGACTGGAACCATTGCAAAACAGAATGTCCCAATCCTGGCCCCAAAAGGCAGTCAGGAAGCATACCATGATTGATGGTATCAAAAGGTGCTAGGAGTTCCAGGAGAATCAACACTTTTGTACTGGTTCTATATCGCACCCAAAAGGGCGACCGTCTGTTTCAGTCCCATAACCAGGCCTAATACCAGTTTACAAAGGAGCCAAACGAGTTTCCATCCAGGAAAGCTGAAAGTTCTCCAGCCACCGCTCACTCTGTTACCTTGCTCAAGAATGTATGGTAATGTTTGAGACTGGTTGATAGTTGCCGAGATTTCCTGGTCCAGAATAGGCTTCTTCAGAAGTGGATGCACCACATTCTGTTTCAAGACTGGGGCGACCATCTCCTTTCTCAAGGAGGCATTAACTACCTCTTGGACCCAGTCAGCTAGCCCTCCAGCAGATTTAAATAGCAAGGAAGGGAAAGGGTCATACAAGCAGGTCTCAGGCTTCTAGGGGTCCTATTCACATCCTCAGACTGAATAAACTGAAAAGTATCCCAAACAGGTAGACAAGTTGGCACCCTGGCACCATCTGACCCTGTCACCTTCTGAGAGCCAGTTTGGTGTAGTGGTTAGGAGTGCAGACTGTAATCTGGGAGAACTGAGTTTCATTCCCCACTCCTCCACATGCAGCTGCTGGCGTGACCTTGGGTCAGTTACAAGTTCTTTCAAAGCTGTTCTCTCACGAGCAGTTCTTGAAAGAGCTCTCTCAGCCCCACCTACCTCACAGGGTGTCTGTGGGGGGGGGGAGGGAAAGGAAGATTGTAAACCACTCTGAGACTCCTTAGGTAGTGAAGGACGGGGTATAAATCCAATCTCATCTTCTTCTTCACTGTTAATGTAGAGCTACTGCTAATATAGATTTGTGACATCACAATAGAGTGGATTGCAGATAAAGCACACCATTTCTGCTGAAGTGGCATCTGTTCTTTTTACAATTTTAACACAGGGTATGTTAGATCAATGAAAAATGTGCAAATTACTGGCCACAACAAGCTTTACACATCCCAAAACATATTTTAAATGCTTTGTAAAGCTTTTTGTTTTCTTACCTGGCAGAGTTGCAAACGGGTTTTGAAGTGCTCTGAGTTTGAAAAGGACCTTGTGATACAACAAATGGAAGTTGTTGTCAGATGTGTATTTCTCTGGGACCCAAGCTGTGATGAATTCAGGAGTTGATAGATTCAGGAGTCCCCCCCCCCCCAATCACCAAGTACTGACACACCATTCCTAATTTATATTGTGTTTATTATGCTAATCTTGTATATTTAAACATTTGACAGCTAAACATTTATCAATATAATGGCTGGTATTAATGACACTACTTTACAGTTGACTGTCAAGGCATTGGGAGTCTAATGAATGCAGCTTCTGTTGCCTTAGATGTGGGTGTGCGTTGTGTGAAACATCCTGGCTGTGTTTCTGAGGCAACAAGAACATTTGAAGACACACAGGGAACAGCATTATATGTGGAAAATGTTTGGGATACGAAACGATTTTGGAATCTTGGCCTCCCTTGCACTTTCCCCTTGCATTTTTTTTTCTTTGTTTTCCATCGTTTTACAAACCAATTTTACAGTCTTTCAGCTGGAAAAGAAGAAAAAGGGGAGGAATAAATGTAAATGTCCTGCCTTTGTGGAATTTTTAGTTCTGAATACAATGTATTGTAATAACCCCCAAACACTTGCATTTGTGCAACCGATACTTAGCAGACATGTTCACAAACACAGTGAATTCGTAAAAGAGGAAATATATTTGTATGGAAAGGGAAATGTTAATGTTTATGGGTGTGCATTCTAGAATACTAATAATATATGCGAAAATTGCTGTTTTGGGTTGTTACCATGATTTTTCAGAATGGTTACCCAGATCTGAGATTCTTAGACATTATGAACTCCTCTCCAAAAAATCCATGTAGTATTTCATGTTTGGGCATTTAACATCACCAGCAGGTGTCTTGTTTTTCTTTTACTCTCTAAATTTCCCAGGGAATGGACCAGGGAAGGCAGTGATCCTGCATTGTAAATAATGGTTCCAAAACTCCAGAACCTGGGGGGAAAACCATGGTTTTAAATCACAAACCAATAACGTCCTATCCAATGCTCCCTCTAAGCTGTGGAGTCTTGTGAGCAAAAATTCTACTTTCATGAGCTACTGGCATTAAGGCTGTGAGTGAGCTATTTGGCTACTGCATAAATTAGTTTGCTCTGAAGCTATCCTTCCTGAGCTAAAACAAAAATGTGTGAGCTGGAGGCTAAAAAACTGTGAGCTAGCTCACACTAACTCAGCTTAGAGGGAATGCTGGTCCTATCTGAAAACCAGCAACCACAGTAAAAGTCCCCACTAGTGTTCCCTCTAAGCTGAGTTAGTGTGAGCTAGCTCACAGTTTTTTAGCCTCCAGCTCACACATTTTTGTCTTAGCTCAGGAAGGACGGCTCCAGAGCAAAGTAATTTATGCAGTAGCCAAATCGCTTGCTCACAGCTTTAATGCCAGTAGCTCACAAAGTAGAATTTTTGCTCTCAGGACTCCACAGCTTAGAGGGAACATTGGTCCCCACCCTCATCCCAGATCCAAAATTATAATGAAATTTTTCTCAGAGGACACCCCTGTTAATGTTTATGCCTATGTGGGGTAGTAATTCCCACCCTTCAGTCATAGCAAAGCAACTGAAATAGCATGGGGTCTGCTGTTTTGAAGCGTCGGCTCGTCTTTGTGACAGCATAAAGCCTTGTGAGAGTTCCAGAAGGAGGGAAGGAACGAGCACATATGGATGACATAAAATGTCAGCATCTGGGGGAAAGAGAGGAAAGCTTGAGTATCTTGCTAGCCCTCTTCCATCCAATCTGAGGTCTTTGGGGCATGCATGGCTTGTTTTCAGAAGTCATCAGGAGGAAGGCTGTGCAGGAGAGAGCCAGGGAGGAGGAGGAGGAAGGTGCCAAGAGACCCTCTCCTTTTTCTTAAGGTCTTGTGGGCCCCATCCCTTGAGGATACAAGGGGTCAAATGGACAGAGGAGCAGGGCCTGAACACCACCATCCCTCCCACAACATGTGCCACCACTGCTGGAAAAATGGATTGATGTTCATTTCACTGTGTGAGAAACACTATCAGATGGCCCTTACTGAATCCAGTTCAAGAACGGGAACCTCTTTTTTATTATTCATGTACTATTCACGTTAAAAATTATAAGCAGCTCCAAGCATAGTAAGCAGAAGCTAGAGTTACCAGTTGCCCATTGGGGGCAGGAAGTCCCCAATTTTGTGGGCTCCTGCTTGCCCATGGCCAGCTGGCCGGCAGGAGGGAAGTGATGTCACCCCCCATCCCCCCCAAACAGTGATGTCACATGCAACGTGCCTGCATCACCCGGAAGTGATGTCGGCAACATTGCCGTATAGTTTTGTCCAAAAACCAGACTGTCACCCCTGATGTCACCGATGTGCCAATGTCACTTCTGGGTGTGACATCACTGTTTACGGGGGAATGGGGGGTGATGTCACTTCTCACTCCCGGAACATATCCCAGATTATATTTATTAGTATGATGATGACAGACTGCAGCTTTTAACTTAACAAAGTCAATTTGACTCTGAAGGATAAGGCAGACACTTTTTGCCTAATATTTGTTCATTTTCAATAAAGGTTTGACAAGCCTTTATTTATGTTTGTATAACTCCATTGTTCACTCTCTATGTTCTAAACCGCACAATGGAAACCAGCTCTTTTAGTTAGCATGATCCAGACTGAGGCTCACATCTCTGCATTATTTAGATTTCAGAAGAAAGAACTTGCTTGGGAGGAAGTTACCCAATAAAATGAGTGGTTGTTTACAACTCAATAAATACCCATTCAGCTAGAAAAGGTCAGTGCTTTTTTCATACGAGTACTATGGTAGATAGACACTAAGTGGCCTCTCTAAATTCTGTTGTCTTTATACAAAGACCGTTCATCTACTCTTTTTAAATTAAGTTTCCAGACACTTATGAATGAACTCAAAGTCTGGCAGTTTTTTAAATG